ATTCCTGGCTGCCGGGAAACAAGCTGCTCTGTGAATTTAAGTTTTGGTGACAGCAGTTGGAAATTTTCTTTTAAAGATTCAGTAGGTCCAGCTCCACTGTCTTGCCTTCCCTGTTCATCAAACAAGCTCTCAGTGGAATGAAACAAGATATTTACAAAATACTTCTATGAAAAATTTGAAAAGTATATGCAGGATACACGGTCCAATTACTTAAATATGTCATCATCTTTCCTTCAGGGTTTTCTGCTTCAAAATTGTGTCAGCAGAATAGTTTAAAAACACTGCAACTCACCACAAGCCAGTAGCCTGTGATTCCGACCAAGCTGTGTGCTCCCAGAAGGAAGTTAGCAGGTACCAAGTCACCTCTTCAGAATAAACATTTATTTAGTGCAAGCAGTCCTAACGCCTTTGGGCTCTTTATTTTGTGTGTATTCGAATGTGGGGCAAAATAAGGATGTCCAAATCATGACTTTTGCTATTTCATAAATGCCAGAACAGAGAAAGACAGATGAAAGGATTGTTCTGGTACTCAGCTTATTGGTTACCAGGTCCAATTATGTTGGCTATTTTGAAAGTAAGTGTATAAATTATTAAAGACCGAAAAAGGTATTAAGGACTAGTGAATACTGCTAGTCGACACACACAATAACAAACTCTGAAATATTCCACCACAACAGTGTCAAATTGATTTCAAAGCAAATTATGTTGTTCTACAATCCGTTGATGATTAAAAATAAACAGTATATTAAAAGGTCCATGTTCTGGTCCTCTGGACAGATTGCCATCAGTGGTCCTGATAGTGCTTTTGTTCACAGCCATTTGGATTTCATGTACCTCCATATATAGCTGGGACTACATATAAGCATACTGAAGATATATTTTTAATTATGCACATAGCCTGTCCTTGACAAAAGTAAGAGCAGTATTACTGTATTAAAATAATTACAATAATTACACAAGTTCACCTCAATTAATGGAAAACTCTTTAAACATCAACAGAAAAAATGTCCTTTAAAGTACAAGTCAGTGCCAGGCTCTTCTACACCTCAGTATACAACCAGTTGTGTAAGTACTTGCAAAAGTTTTGGTTCCTTTCTCTCATGTTACATACCATGGTCCAGCATGCTACACCCATTTAAAGACTGCACAAAATCTTCTTATCGCAGATGGTTGAGTCTAAGCTGCTGACAGATTATTTCTTTTTTTCCCAAAAAAATTGGTTTTTAAACTTTAATAACTTTATCAGGTCCATTTTGGATCTGGAATTCCAGACATAAACCTGTATCTTCTTTTACACTACTTTGGCTTATGCTTTCATCACTTGTAACAATAGATTTTATTTTAATAATAAGGTGAGAGCTTTTGTAATATTATTAATTTTAATAAGATATATCTAATTCTGACACAGTCATTCTGAATAGTGACTTTTAATAAACTTTGAGATTAACCTCAAAGAAAATTCTTACAGTTTTAGACAGAGCACATTTTTTCAGCTGTATTGTATCATCCATGTAACTAACTCAACACTCGTTGACTTTGCTTTCCTATTTTCATTCCGTCTGTGTTTGGAATACAGAACCTTGGTGCTGGTGTGTGGTTATAGAGCCCCCAGACCTCACCGGCGGTGTGAGCACGAGAAGTTATACAACAACCGCTCACTGTCTCTCCGCTGCACCTCAGCCATCTCATGCCTCACAAGTGATCACAGCTCAGTATGATACAGAGAAAGTGAGTGGTGCTACCGACCCGCACCATGATGGAATGCCAAGGGGAGTGCAGCAGCACCAAGCTCTTTTCAGGTGGGGGATCCACATGAGTATACATCCATGAAAAACTATTCTCGTATTTGCTGTAAGAATTCTACCAACAAAGGACAACAGTTCTGCTCGTATCTGAAGGAGCAAATTTATCAATTTGGGATGGGATTTTTATTTATGCCAAGAATGTCTCTGGCATCTACAATCAGATCATTGTGAGCATGGCTCAGTATGGCTAAACATCAGCAGGGGGATGAGCAGCGTCTTACGATGGGGAAAATAAAAAGAGTTAGGAACTTCTCATTTCAAAACATATAATGGATATTGATAGTGCACCCTTGGGTAAGCTGGTATTTGGAAGGAATTAGTTAATACATAAACAAACCACGCAAGCAGCACAACGGGCTTTTTAGATCAGGCAGTCACAAAATGCTTCAGAAAGTTAAAGAAATTCACATGCTATCTATAATTGCCCTTATCCAGTCCCTGCCACAGTTGTATCTCAGTGCAGTTCCTGTTGATAACAGGGTAAGAGCAGGCTCATTTTTCAGTCTGAACACTGTGTACACTAGCTCTTGAAGACACCTGACATCGTGAGGAAATAAAAATCTTTATACTAATATAAAAAGTTGAAAACCAGTGGAGAGACTTCCATTTGCTATGCAGTGCTTGAATGCACATACTGTCCTTTCCTGCCCACATTACTCCTGTAAGTTCCAACTCAAGTGGAGCTGGGATCTGCAAAACAGGGCCTACAGTTTTTCTTTGTTGTGTTGATTGTAATCACTACTCTTTCTAACTGCACTATAGATGCATGGAAACTTTCCTTGCATCTCTTTGAAGGTCTCAAGGACAGGGAGGAAAACATGGAGACCGCCCTCAATGGCCAGAACCACATGAAGCTTTACACCTTCCCCTCCATGGATGCAGTGGGCACTGCAGGGCATGGAGAGGGCCTGAGAACAACTCCTGTGAGCAGAATGAGAGTAAGGAGGAGGAGGAAAGCTGCCAGAAAATCAAGACAGTGCAGAGATGCTGTTGCCTGGTTAGGGACAG